AGTATAGAGTAAGCACTCAATATACATTCCCTTCCTCTCACAGGTAACTGAGTGAACAGTTGAGCTACATACCCATCACTCACACACAGAGGTGAAAACTGAAATCCATCTTAGACCATCCTCTTCAGCACAGAACTCTCACCAGGTTCCACCAGCCAAGCACCTAGACTAAGTCTCAAAACCAGTGTGAATTCAGCGTGTTGTTACACGGCATCAACTGTTAGCCTTCAAGAGTCTTCATTGTATTACAAATACACAAGGTATTACAAATGCACAAGATTGTCCATTGCAGCATTATTATAAAATATTACCTAAATGTCCAAACAAAGGGGATTAGCTGAACCCACCATGGCACATGCATGCAATGGAGTACTACGCAGTTGCAAACAAGGATGAGAAACTGGCATGAAGCGATTTCCACAATACATGGTTGACTGAAAACACCTGAGCTCAAGTGAGTATACAAAGTATGGCACCTTGTGTGTCAGAAAGAAAGGGAATGAGAAAATATTCATGTACCTGCTTACTTTAACAGAAAGACACACAAGAAGGGTAATCACCTTCAGGGTTAGCGAACAAGAGCAGTGAACGGGACAGGGAAGGGAATAATGCTCCTCTAGGACTTTCTGTTTGTTTGTTTTGTTTTGTTTTTGTTTTTTGCGGTACACAGGCCTCTCACTGTCGCGGCCTCTCCCATTGCGGAACACCGGACACAAAGGCTTAGCAGCCACGGCTCACGGGCCCAGCCGCTCCGCGGCATGTGGGATCTTCCCGGACCGGGGCACGAACCCGTGTCCCCTGCATCGGCAGGCGGACTCTCAACCACTGCGCCACCAGGGAAGCCCTCCTCTAATACTTTTAAATAGAGTTTTAACTTTTTTTTTCTTTCAGTCTCATTAAGACATAATTGACAGCACTGTGTAGGTTTAAGGTGTACAGCATAATGACTTCACTTACTTAAACGGCAATATGATGACACAGTCTTGACTTTCAGAAGCATGTTAATAGTTTACATATTGAAAAAATGAAATCAACAAGGATGGGAAAAAATCTCCCACTGAGTGCCAACAGAAATTAATTATAGATTGTAATTAACGCAACACTGAAGTGGGGAGGGGAGGTAACTTTTGAAGTTGGTACTTCAAAAGAGGCTACTATTATACCCTCAGCACCAGGGGGAAAAAAAACACCAACAAATCTTGAACTCTTTTTAGCAGGTTTGTTTTTCAGAGTGGTACAGGCATAGCAATTCTGAAACTCTTTTAAGTGTGCTGTAGGACTGAACACTAAGTAAATGGGCTGAAGTTGTTGGAATCAGGGAGATACAAATATGGAATAGGGGAGGGTGAGGAAGAACTCCGTGGGGTTGGATTATAACTGGAGTATTAAAATGAACTCATGATTCCCTGGCTCTTTCCACAGAGTCTAGAAACCATGCTGTTCAACAGAACTTTCTGTGATGGTAGAAATGTTCTGTGTGTGTTCTGTCCAACGTGCTAGCCACTAGCCACATGTGGCTACTGAGCTGGAAATGTGGCTACTGCAACTGAGGAACTGATTTTTTAAACTTTATTTAATGTTAAGTGTGATCTGCCACGTGCAACTGTGTCTACTGTATTAGACAACTCAAGTCTAGAGGCAATGACACCACAGTTACACTGAGCACCCAGATCTTGGCTTCTAAATACTACTCCCCACTGAAAGGAATTAGGGTCCCCAGGAGAAACGGCCGACTCCATGGCTGAAGCAGGTAAGTTACAAGAGGAACATCTGGTCTGCCAGGCAATAAGAAAGTGCTCAAAAAAGGGGTGGGGGGAGAAAGGCATGTAAGAAGGACACATAAGGGCTTCCCAGGTGGCGCAGTGGTTGAGAGTCCGCCTGCCGATGCAGGGGACGCGGGTTCGTGCCCCGGTCCAGGAAGATCCCACATGCCGCGGAGCAGCTGGGCCCGTGAGCCATGGCCGCTGAGCCTTTGTGTCCGGAGCCTGTGTTCCGCAACGGGAGAGGCCGCGACAGTGAGAGGCCCGTGTACCACAAAAAAAAAAAAAAAAAAGAAGGACATATGAGTCAGTTGAAGGGACTCTTATCTGCCACATCAGGGACAGCTCAACTCACCAAACAAAACAGGAATCCCTGAGTCCATATGGATGACAGACAGGGGGAAAGGAGAGCTCTTCCTCACCAGATCACACTTGAATACCAAGGTCCTAGAAAAAATTACTCACTGACATTTCCACAAGACGAACCCCACTCTACCCCTTGCCTCATACCTTGATCTACTTTATTTCTACGGCAGATGAGAGTACTTTTCAACTCCAAATAAGACATTCATGTTCTTAACACTTAGGGAACAAAACAAAAAAGCTGCTCAGGGTCACCCTTTCAGTAAGAAAATAAAGAGTTCAAATGACCGAGGAATCCTCAGTTTCCAAGTTCTGGAGAAATCACTAGGCAAACCTCTTCCCTCTCCCCCTCCTCCCCGAACCAAATCAAATGAAAGTTGGTCATACTCTGTAGCTCCCTACCCTGGCTCAACCTCTCCATCTCTCTACTGGAAAATATCTCAGTATGATGGTTATAGTGAAATGCAGCCAAAGCATGCATCTCTGAGACCCTCTTCATAGGAATCTGTAACTCAGTACACGAAGTTTCTTGGATATCTTAAATAAAAAGGAGGGGACACACTATCGTGCAAATAGGAAACCTTTCATCAGATCAGACAATGCACTTAAGTACCCTAACCCATGAAGAAGTAAGAGATGCAGCATCTTTTAAACGTGCCTGTGAAACTGGTCATGCAGCGCTTAGAAAACACACGTGGAAACATCAGTAATGTTACTGAGATGAGGAATTAACCTGCGGCGAACGAGTGACACTGCCCACCTTTCCTCTCTGAGTCCAGGGAGTTGGCCCAGGGGGCGCTGCCATTTCTGGTTTTCTAAACCTGTGCATGATGACATCCATTGTGAGTTGCAAGTGAACTCTGCAGTTCTATTACTTACACTTTAAATCATTTACAGTGTCATCACAGATCTGTGCATCGAGGTCACATTTGTAACCACCCAAGGAGTTACAAAATCGTTCTCTAAATGCTTCGACGTTCTAATGATACTAATAATGACGAACGCTCTGCTTGTCATCTGCCAGGCACTGCACTAAGCGCTCACCATCATCCTTTGAGGAAGGACCCACTATGACTCCCGCTGAAAGATAAGGAAGCTGGGATGTTAACCCTGACGCTACGACTTTCACACATTACATTCACTGTAACAGTGCTCTTATTCCCTATCATTACCAGTATCTGAATAATGGACTCATTAATAATAAAAGCAGTAACTGTCATCAACTGAGTATTGTACTGGGCCCAACTCCTCGCATATTTTCACTCTACTGCTCACAATAGGTCTATACATGAACTGTCAGCATTGCCATTTTACAGAGAAGGATATAGGGCCCAGATAAATTAAGTGATTGTCCAAGGCCACAAAGATGGTGAGTGGCAGAATTGGGATTTAAACTAAGGCAAGCTTGATCACAAAACCTACTATCTCAGAGCCACCTCCCCCTTTCTTCGTTTAAAAAAAAAAGAGAGAGAAAAAGAAAAAAAAAAAAAAGGACCAAATGTCTCTTATTTGGGTTTGGAGAGAGGAAGAGATTCCTAGTAACATAAGAATGAACTCCAAACAGTTGGACGCCCAGGGTCTAAATTATGAGCCTCTCCCTCTTTGCGAGAGGTCATTGTTTTGCAGAGCCTTGTTGCTGGATTCCTGATCGTAGCAAATTCCAGGGCTCCAGACTGCAGGCTCAGCCTCTGACTAACACTACAGTGATTTACCGAGGATAGAGAAATACCGCTGTCAGTATGTCTTATGACTACACACACAGGCCAGCGCGCTGGAATGCCGGCAATGCCGAGGGCTGCTGGCGCGATCGGCCCCCTCGAACCGTGCTAGGTCCCCGCCTCCAGTGAGGAGCCTGGAATATGAGGTCCACGTTCCTGCCAGGAACGGCAGCATCCTCGGAAGGACTGGGGATGGCCGAGCATCCTGAGTAATCACTACACATTAAGTCACGTGTGCGGAGGAGAAAGGAGCAGCGCCTTTTACCCAGACAGACAGCGCGCTACTTCCAGCCGTCAGGGCGGCCTCCGCCCTCTGCCAAGACCCCAGACTACCCACCGGCCGCCCAACCGCCAGGCCAGCCTCCCCGCGCAGCTGCCTGGGGGGTCCCCGAGGCCGCCAGACCTCCGAAGAAGCATCCGCTCCCTCCGCGAGGCGTGCGTGTGAGAAACACAACGAGGGAGCCCAGATACAGCGCGCCGGTTTCCAAATACAAACGTGGTGACGCCGCATCGGGTCACAGAACTTTCGTCTCAGCAAAGGGGGACACTGAGGCGCAGGGAGTTGAAGCAACGCGCGCGGAGGCCGCAGGCGCGGGCGGGGACGGAGGGGCAGGGCCGCCGCCCGGGCACCGCTCCCCTGCGCGCGGGAGGAAGCTCCCTCAGCCGCGCGGGGCAGCCCCGCGCGCGCCCCCAGCACGAAAAGCGCCCTCCCCACCGTGGGACACACAGCTGCGGCTGCACACCTAGCTCTCAGGGTGCACACCTAGCTCTCAGGGTGCACAGCTGGGGCTCCTGAGCCAGCATTTCACAGCGGTGGCCCGGCGCTCGCCCCTTCGGCCACTGCCCCGGCCCCTAAGGACACTCGGTGGGGACCGGCCCCCTGCGCAAGCAGCTGGCAGTGACCAGGCAAGAGAAGCCAAGGCTTCCAGACAACGTCCCCAAGCCGCTCTAGGGAAAGGAAGCTCCTCTGGGGAACACACTCGAATGGCTGCACACATGCGTCGGAAGGAGATGAGAGGTCACCTCTCCTGGAGCTATTAACACCGCTTTAGTGCCCGCTCCTGGCAGGGGAGTAGCGGGCATCTCTCCCCTTCCGAGTCAGCGGCACAGAGTGGCAAGAGAACCGTGGCCCAGGACCCGCTTCAGGGGGGGCACTTACAGGTGGGGGGCGAAGATGCGACTCATCTTGGAAGCATGGTCACTTTCACAGTCCAGCTCGTCGTCGCCGGGCTCCACGGTGAACTTCCTCTTGCTGGGACTGATGGGCGGGGGCCCCGTGCGGTGACTAGTGAGGGCCGAGGCCACGGGCAGGCTCTGCAGCCGGGGCTCCCCCCTGAGAGCAGCTTCACCTGAGCAGAGAGAGAGAGACACGTGTCACCAAGCAGGAGACACGCCCCCACCCCGGCCCCTCGCAAAACGACTCCCGGGGTAAAGTTTCTGGCAACGGGATGGGCTGCCATTCTCAAAACGCGCCGGGCCCCGGGGAGCTGCCAAGCGCGAGCCCTTCCACATAAACATGGTTTCCCAGCACAGTCGCTCTTTTCTGCCCCAGCGTTATTGAGGTATCACTGACACATATCATTGTGTCAGTTTAAGGTGAACAACGTGTTGATTTGATACACTTATACATTGCAAAACGTTACCACCAGAGCTAACACATCCATCACGTCACATACCTACCATTTCTTCAATAACTTTTTAGGGCTTTAAAATAAAAAGTTGCAATAAAGTAACTGGGGACAGAGGGCGTATCAACCATAAACCATCTCAAAAGCTAACTGAAGACAACAGAGGTCTTTTGATTTTCCGGTATTCAACTCCATACCTGTAAGAGTATGATGACCTAACCGTGGGTTCATTAAACAACTAAACTCACTTTTCTTGCTTCTTACACTTTTATCATGTCTTTGGTATGTTATTTTTTTTTAGAATGAGGAAAATTTATGGGTTAATGGTTCACATGTTTGCCCCCCAACGTTAAAACAAACAAAAATACGTTGTTTAACGGGAAATACTTATTTTTTTCTTACGGTACACTAAAGATGGCATGTTAAAAATATGATTATTATCAGCACTAAGTTTCTGTGGATAATCTGTCACCAGCTTAATGCACATGTGCTGTTCTCAAAATATTTTCAAAGTCAGACACTCATGATCAGAGTTCACATTTTGATCTGATTCGACATCTTGCCGTCTTTCATTCCCGTTTTAGAAAGGTTTCATGCGAAGAGATAACTTTGTGCCTTGTTATGAATTAAAATAAGCATAACCTTTCATTACAAGAATGGTTATATACTTTCTAAATTATAAGCAAGAGTAATAGTTACTTTAAGAGAAAACATCAAGCTTTCTAAGTCATGGGGGGCTGAGTACCTAAAGTTTTCACAAATAATAACCTGTTTGTTGTGCTTTTCATATTGGCCTCTAAGGCCTGACCAATTTTGTTTCCACTTGGTCACCATTGGAGAGTCACATTAGGATAAAGTCGACTTCATCTGAGGCCTGTGGTACCTAAGAAAGGAAATCTTTGTTTGCCACCACTAATTTTCGTATCGTCACAGAATGCGTGGACAGTTTTAACAGCCGTTTGCTTCATACACATATGACAAATGCGATTTTGTTAGGGAAAGGAGGGGAAAATGCCTTCTTAATGTTTACCAGGAAAAATAAAAATTTTGCCAATTTAGTCAGCAAGATATAAACTAGCAAATATATAGTCACCCATAATACACCTCTAGTCAGGATTTCTTTTAAGGATTCTGGCCCCAAAGCAAACTGGAACTTTCCATTTTAAATGAAATACCTAAAACACAAGCCCTATGCTGGCCTGCTACACTCAGAAACTCAGCAGGATTTTGGTTGACCTCTACTTCGTATTAAGTCATTTTTGGTTTAAACAAACAAACAAACAGCAGTGCTAATATCTGTACCTTAATAAATTAGAAAATATCCTTTCGAAAGCTGCCCCTCCTTCTCATTCTCTCCTTCTCCACAGAGCATCAGTAACCCGGTTAACTTCTGGAGGAGCCCTGGTGATACCCTGAGAAACCCAACCACTGCCAATCAAGCCTCATCCGCAAGGCACAGCGCCAGCGCACCCTCCCCCCAGCGTCTCTCCACGTCCCTGGCAGCGTAAGTGGGATGAGGAGTACTCTGTGAGGACTCCCGGGCTTTGGGAGCCATTTCATCAGATGCCAGATGTGTGGCAATGCCAGTTGCCATGGAAAATCGCCACCATATCAACGAAGTCGAATCACCCCAAAAAAGGAAGAGTCACTCATTACGCGAGAAATCACTGTTACATGAAGAGCAAAACTCTTGGGGTAACGATAACATTCCTGCTTCACTCCGCAGTTTCCATCCTCGTACAAGTTCTTGGGCTTGTTTGCATTTAAGTCCATCAAATGCAGGCACTGCTCATCTTAGGACTGAATTGCTGGTGTCTGGCAGAGAAAGTCCACAGGAATCCTTTGAAAACACTGGAGATCGGTAACCTGGCAGGTGAAGGACCCACGAAGGAACCACAGGTGGTCCTGGGGGGAGGGGGGCTCCTCCAGAGATGACGGGGACATGCATGCCGTTAGTGCTGGGTTCCCTCGTGTGACAGATGGAGTCACCTACTCAGGGTCACATGTGAACAGGTTAACTATAGCAAGAACCATGCCCTCTGCCTATCAGGCTAACACCTCCTCCTAAACACCGTGCAAGCCCCACACACGGCTCAGCACAAAGAAACCAGGGGCAGGAGGAAAAGAGCCACAGTTAGAAGGGCAGGCAGGTCTGCTCAGTTACACGCCTTCAGCCTTCATTCATCTCCGGGCCCCCCTGGAGAGGGCCCTGGCCCAACGCCAGGTATCGTAGAGCAGGATTTGCTGGTGTCAGTGTGTACGTAGCAAAACAAGGTTAAAATTATTTTAGTAAAACTCTATTTTAATTTATTTTTGGCCGCACTGAGTCTTTGTTGCTGCACGTGGGCTTTCTCTAGTTGCGGCGAGCGGGGGCTACTCTTTGTTGCGGTGCGTGGGCTTCTCACTGCGGCGGTTTCTCTTGTCGCGGAGCACGGGCTCTAGGCACGCGGGCTTCAGTAGCTGTGGCTCGCGGGCTCTAGAGTGCAGGCTCAGTAGTTGTGGCGCACAGTCTTAGTTGCTCTGCGGCATGTGGGATCTTCCCGGACCAGGGATCGAACCTGTGTCCCCTGCACTGGCGGGCAGATTCTTATCCACTGTGCCAACATGGAAGCCCGAGGAGTACATTTGATCTGGGAGTCAAGGCACCTGTGGGATACCCTCCCTTTATTTAGAAACAGGCAAATATGGGCACGTACTTCCCCCCTCTGGGCCTCCATCCAACCAGGGGACAGACTAGCTAATATCTCATATTCCTTCAGACCCAATTCTATGGTCCACAATCCTGTAATCAATTAAGTAACCAACCAACCAACCAACATTTACTATGAAATTATCACTTGTGAAATACTGAACTAAGACATCAAAACCCAAAGTACGTACCTCAGATCTTATATGTAAAAAAAAAAAAAAAAAAAGTGAATCCACGGTCAAATAAATTTGGAAAACACAAGATTAAATAATTTTCCCAGGAGTTCCTTCTTGTCTTCTAATGCATGTGCCAGTTTCCAAGAGAGAAACGCAGCAGCGCTGCCTTCAGTCACGCCACCCGCAATTCATCCTACACCTTCTGTAGACACAGCCTTCCAAGGCTCTGTTGTGAGAACATCACCCCATCCTTACCCAAAGAGCCAGGAGCTTGCCAGTCACTGATAAAACACTATCCACACTGCTTCAGCACTCAAAGTCACCACCTGGTCCCAGCTATGCTTCTCATCTGTGTTCCTAGTATTCCTCTTACTAAGCTCTGAAAATTTCAGCCCTAAAGTTTAAACTAGACTAGTCACCATTCCACAGGGAACTAAAGATCTTTACTCAGGTTCTTCCCCTAATCTTCTTGTGTTGAATCCTACACATCCTGCAAAGGCCACTTTTAAAATGCTACCTCCATCAGGTTGCCTTCCTTGATTCCTCAATCTGAAAGTCATCTCTTTTCCTGAATACCCACAGAAATTGATCACTATGGCCCTTCCCTTCCCACTCTGTTCTGTGCCCCTTGAAGCAAGGGACATTTTATTCATTTTCTATCCTTAGAACACAGAGCACAATATATTCCATGCAGCAGATGGTTAGTATACACTGACAATGAGTAAATGAGGCAAGGGGTGCCCAGGTTATAGAGTTTTGAGGTATGTTAAAGATCAAAGATAACGTAGAATAAGGAATTTTTAAAGATCTATTTAAGGATATATTTATATAAAGAACGCTTACAACTCAACAAGAGAAAGATAACCCGATTTAAAAATAGGAAAGTATCTCACAAGAACTTTCTCCAAAGAAGAGAATCGCCAAGAAGCACAAGGGAAGATCTTCAACATCGCTAGACGTCAGGGAAACACAAAACAGAACCACAATGAGACACCACCTCGCAGCCACTAGGAGGGCTAGGATGGAAAGACAGAGGACAAGTGTTGATGAGGATGTGAAGAGGTTAGAACCCTCGTGTCTTCCTGGAGCAAAGGGGAAATGTGCAGGTGCTGGGGAAAACCACTTGGGGCAGTTCCTCAAATGGTTAAACACAGACCCAGCAACTACTCTCCCAGGTATACATCCAAAAGAAATGAAAACATATACTCACACAAAACTTACACATGAAGGTTCACAGCAGCATTATTCATTATAGCCCCAAACCCGAATATCCATCAACAACGAACAGATATAAAAAATGTGGTATAGCCATACGATGGAATGTTATTCAGCTACAAGAAGGAATGAAGTACTGGTTCACGCTACGACATGGATGAACCTAGAATACAGTACGCTGAGTGAAAGAAGCCAACACAAAAGCCCACATGCCATCAGGTTCCATTCTATGAAACGTCCAGGAAAGGCAAATGCATAGAGACAGAAAGTAGATTAGTGGCTGCTGGGGGCTGGGGGAAGTGAGGGGTGGGACACGGCTGCTACTGAGGGCAGGGTTTCTCTTGCGGGTGATAAGAAAATGTTCTAAAATGTATTGTGGTGAAGGTTGCATAGCTCTGTGAATACACTAAAATCCACTGAATTGTATACTTTAAATGGGTGAATTGTACGGTAACGTGAATTATATTTCAATAAAGCTGTATTTATAAGTAGATGAAAGAAGATCCCAGTATTACGAGATCCTTTTCTCTCTCAGGCTTTTCCACAATTAACTGTTAAATAAGAACAAGCATCCATTAATTTTCCCTGAAATAAAAATAAACCTTTTGTTATTGCAGCGATATCTCTCTGTCAGTCAGATA